CAGAGTACAATGATACATTTCATGAGGTCCAGCAGCTGACGTCATGCGTCAGCGAAATTGTGGCATTCATGGTTGTTCTTACCACTGTGAATGGGTGTCGTTTGACATCCAAACAGCCATGAGACACGCGCGCACCGACTATCACAGATGCCGCGACCATTGGTACGACTAGCTGCGCACCGACCATGATGACCTCTCTGAATTCCTGCTTGCGCCCCTCCCCTAGAACCTCTCTGTCTCCTGGCAGTTCCTCTCGTAAAGTGCTACTGAGCGCATGACTAATGACGTATGTGTCACCCTCTGCACTGTCTCACATTGCCAGACGCCTCACCTTGCCTGGGTTCACGCGGTTTCACTTCACTCAGTTTCACCCTGCACTGCGGATGTTCTCTCTGATGTCAAATCGTCTCTCTTTGCAGGTAGAGCGAATTGCGTGCTTGCAGACATGTTCTCAGTGAATTGCGTTACATACATGTGTTCCACGCTCCCTCCGTTGACTCGCTGTTTGGTTCCTGCGCTACAGTTTGCATCACTCCGCCTTCCCCTCCCTACCGTGTCCTGATACAATTGGCGCTCATCTTCAGGATCCAGTTGGGATCCGGCAGATTGGAATCAAAACTGGAGGTATTCTTCATGGAGCAGAAGCAACAGTGACTCCTACGGACACCAGCAAGATTTTTGGAGTGACCGGAAACGGTCGATCAGGTCACCCAAAGCACTCAGAGCCTCCTGTCACTCGCAAGAAAGCTCGAGTGCCATGCACAGGGGGCACGGCTACCCAGCTACTCCGATGCCCCATCCATCTCAAGGACAAGCTCACGGCGCTAACCCTGCACACACAAATCCAGGAACAGGTCATCGTATTCATAGAAGACCGGTCACACCGCCGCAGGCCGAAAGGCGCCGGTCACCTTCACCTGCTCGTCGCAGCCTCGCACCCATCATGGGACCAGGACATGAAGGACGGCGCCGACGAAACTGCTGCTCCTGCGCCAGCTCCAGCAGGCACACCTTCTAGGGGTTCAAGGGCAAGAGCAGGTAGCTGAGGCCTCTACTGCCCAAGATGAGCGGGCTGTGTTCGACCTCGTTTTGCGAAGCAACCGGGCGGATTTGTCCCACCAACTCCAGCAAGCTATCGGCAACCACTGCTACTTTCAAAGAAGGACTCACCGCCCTTCAAGCATATATGATGTTTGTGCTCCACTATCTGGAAAATTGACCACAGCAGGCCTGCACACTTAGCCCGATATCTCGCACTCCAGCCTACGCCATATGAGCGACAGGCAAGCTTTTGCAACAACTTTTGCAAGGCTGTTTCGGGGGCAGAAACTGCAGACGTAGTCAAGTTTGTGGTTTCTCGGTTTGCTCAGCCTCCCTCTGTAGCCACTGGCGAGCGCGAAATAGGGCTCCTGGCCAAAGCACTGTTGACGAGCAAAATATCTTACCAGCAGCTGTTTGTTATGGGAGCAATGAGGTATGTAATTTTTGAGGAAGCAACGCATTTTTGGGAATTCCCTGTACAGCATTTCCCAGGACCCCCAATTAGCCCCAATCAGTGGTACATATAAGGACATGGGACCACGCCCCAAGGCCTGGTCGGCATATTAACTGCTGGCAAATTTTTGGCTCGGATGCTGAAATTGTAGGAACTCCTCCTGAGGAGGACTGGTACAGTTTCTATGGCAAAGCCATCCCGTGGACCAACTGGATCCCTGGTTAAACTGAATTCCTATCCAAAGTCCACCATTCGACCAAGAATAGCTGCGGAGTCGTGGTGGGGCGCATGCTAGGACGCACCCATATGAAGAGCAAACGTGCGGAAACCACGCACGAGTCTCACTTGCGCAAGTACCACCGATCAGCGCACAGTCCAAATTCGGACAAGCGGCGGGCAATTTGGGAAGCAGGAGGATGGAATATGGATCCTGGCGGGCAGCCGCGCCAATCCGTTTCTGACTGCGCCACCTATGTTGGCCATCACCAACGATGATTATTGGGGCAACAGTTGGCCATCCCCAACCTCATGAAGTCTTACCTCCTTAGAACTCTCGAACTCAGCTCAAAAGTTCAGTCCTATTTGGCTTGACTTTTTTGTGCAACCAAGTATGCCACGACGGCATGCGTCATGCATCATGTTTGCATGATCCGTTGCCTGTCTCTTTGGTTCCAAAGAGATGACACTGCTGCTAAGCCATGGAGTCGTCTTAGTCGCGTACATTCCCACCGATGGATATAGCTTCACCTGTCATGAGTTTTCTCAGTTACCTCTTGCAGGATGTTCAGTACGTATCCATTTTGAATTCGTGGCTCATGGGACAACATGTCACTTTGGACATCATCTTCCCGCCGCGGCCTGCACAGATCCACAGAACTGCAGCAGCTTTTGAGTTGGGGCAACAGAATGTGCAGTACTTTCAGCGAACATGGCCCATCTGTGGCCAAGGATCACAAGCAGGCCAGTACATGTTTCGCATTTTTTTTTCGCATGTGGAGTTTCACCACCTGCCAGTTTTTGGTGCTGTCAACAAGACATGGTACAATGCCATATGCAGTAGAGCACCTCAACTAGGCTTTGTGAATTTCAAGGCCCCCGGTCATTAACGCGTCAATACGCAGCGGTGGACGCAATCGTTCACCATGACCCAATTGCTGAGTTTCATGGCCAAACTGATGAAGACATTTTGCGCGCTCTCACTTGCAAAGCAGTGCGTTGCCGTTTGCCTTCAACCATCAGTCACGCGTGATGCTTTCATGTACAGGGGATTAATCCTACGTAGAGCTTTTGAAGAAACCACAAATTTGCCACGGACAATGGCCCAAAATTCTTTTGCCAAGTGGCTATTTGTGTGACCTGCGAAGTTCGCACAGACATGTCCCATGTCATAGATGCAACATTATTGCAGAATCGTTGGCTTGTAAGTGGTTCAGCGTAGTTGCCATGCAATGATCCACCCAGCGATGCAATTCTTGCTCCTTCGCCCCACATTCTCAATTGTGAAGTACAAGACTGGGCAGCGGGCTTGTTCTATTGGCTCCACCTTGGCCATGACTGCCTCCCATCTAGCAGCGGAGAAAGCCAACGATCTTCAAGTCAAACTTTGTGGCCTGATGAAACGACCACTTTGGATTGCTGCGCGCGATTTGGCTGGGTTTTTTCAACGCAGCCTATGATCGAACGAACATAATGCTGTCATCATTTGCTGACACCTTTGATATCACATGTTGGTCTGTAATTCCTGCTAGCGACGATCAAGTCCGCGATGCTGTTGAAGAACAGCACAAGATGGGTGGATCAGCAAGCAAAGATCAGATTGCATCCGAGTAGTTCCTGTGTGTACAAGTAGACCCACTTACTACGAGCAGTTTTGCAGCGCAGCAAACCTGTGTGCCAAATTCCTTCTTGTGTGTGTGGACCTCTGTGACTAAGGGTTTCATACGCATGCAGGGAGTCACAGCATGTCACTGGGACTGTGTCCAACGAAGCTACAAGCGGCATGGGAAGACAGGACTGATCATGCTCCTGTACCTGCAAAGAGTTTGGCATGGGTGACGTTGTCACAGCTTGCACTCTCCAACACAAATCGGGCACCCATTTTTTTCCCAAAATGAATTTTCCAACATGTCAGTTACATGTCAAACATGTACACCCATGTGCAGTTGCGGTTGCAGCGCAGACATGTCATTTTGGAGTTGCTGTCTTGTACAGAAACAGATGAACAGCAGTTTATAAGCCTTGAGGCCAGATAACGACCCCGGGACCCCCTCGCAAGCTTCATGCTTCAAGATACATCGAGCACAGCTTAATAAAACAGAGATTGATTTGGGCTAGAGTTTCGATGCACGAATGTGTGTGTGGGTTTGGAAGTGCTGGAATCTCGGAAGTTTTGAATTTTGCGGAACATCTGGGATTGGGAGTGTGACATCCTCGGCATCTGCTTTGTTCAGACATGTTTTTCGTAGCAGAATGTTCGGAAAGCATTGACTTTTCCGCGCTTTTTTTGGCTTCAGTAATTTGAGTCAGCGTCTAGGAAGAAAGAAACAAAGAACGACAGAAATAAGTGAAGGCAAAATCAAAAGAAAGAATCGAGAATCAAAGAAAGAACAACAACGTTAATCAAGAGAATATTCACAAAAGCCAAACACAACCAAAAGGAAGCGAGGAAGGAAATAAGACAACGCAAGACTGAAAGAAAGAAAGAAAGAAAGAAACGAACACAAGGAAGGGAATGGCAAACAAGAGATATCATAGATACAGGGAGAGGCAAGAAGACGAGAGGGAGATCAACAAGTAGAAGGAAACAAAGTAAACAAGAACAACATGAGAAAACAAAGGAGAGTCAAGCGACAAAGGAAGCAACAAGTCCAAAACGAGATGTGCATATTGTGCATGTATATAATATATATATATATATAGTGTACCCTTGTCCGGGGCACTTGGACTACCGTTGTTGGGATGCCGGGCGTGCAGCGTATGCCCGCTTGACGGCTCAAGAGTTTTGGGCTGCATCATCCTTCAGAAGTGAAATCAGCACACGCCGAGTGCGCATGACTGGTTTTGTGGAACCCCGCATCTGTGTAGTGACAAGACGGCAGGTCGTGCGGCTCTTCCCTTTAGGCTTCTCACAAAATGTACAAAATCGCACCTGTATCAGGGCAGGCATAATTTGAGACAGCAGAGAATTTATCATACAGAGGTTGTATACAAAAAACAGGCTCTACATACCAGGAAAAATGTACAACACAAAGTGGCTCATTGCCAAAATGCTCAAGGCGCAAGATCACGAGACATCCTAACCTCTCACAAGTTCAAAATACCTTTTCCATCCCAGACATCTAAACTCCCAACCCATGTCAGTAATCTTTTGAATTTCTAAAGCTTGTTGAGGTCAGGGATGGAAAGCTCTAAATCAAATCAAATCAAATCGTCTTTCAGGTGTGTTGGCAGAGGCTGGCGGTGGCCACATGACATGTAGACTTCGACATAGACCTCAGCGCATGGCCATGTGCTCGCAGAAGTGCGCCAATCCCTGGAAATGCGCGGGGTCCTCCAGCGAGCCCACCTTCGATGCAGCAGCTTGTCAACATGCCATAGCTTCAGGACTGAAGGCCTCTACAGCCATCGCATAGCTGGACTTCTGAGCTTCAGGGTCCTGCATGTCGCTTTCCACGAAAGAAAGGAGTGTACGGCCACCATGACAGACACACCTTGCCGCTGGTCAGAGTATGCTTTGCATGAAAGAACGGATCCTGGACCAGGAGAATCCTCAGCCCTGATGGGAGAGTTGTCTGGTAGTATGTACGCCTCCATGCATAGCACGACTCTGTTTGTTTCAAACTCAGAGGCATCTTCTTGTGCCTGTCCGTCTTGGCCTTCCTAATCGAAGAATGGCCAGTCTCCTGGCAGCAACACACGGTACAACTGTTGAGGTGTGGATCCATCATTCAACCCATGCAAGTCAAGACTCGGCCACGTCCATGGCACCCATACTGTATCCCTTTCGATGTAGAAACCCAGCTCTGGCAGCTGTTGCCTCAAGTGATGCCGACGCCCACTCAAGCTTCTAGATGAGATGCATGTTGAGCTTCACTAGCTTGAGCTACGAGCCAGTAGCCCCAGCGCCAGAACATGGCTTGGCTTCATTTCACCTTGGTCTCCACAATGCCCTGTACAGCAAACGTGCCAACACAAATAGCTGGAGGCAAGCATCGGATTGCAAGCTTCGTTCGGGTTGTTGTGGGGCACGGCTTCTACCTACCCCGATTGCACTGGCCTTGAGCCAAGTGCCTAATGCTTCACGCATTTGCATGCAACTCTTCCAATCACTGCTACTTCAGGATGAATAGCCAGTGTTTTCCCCTGCAAGCCATGAAGTGAGAGTTATCTTCTACTCTTCAGCAGTGGCGTTACAGTGCCTTGTCCTCTGGTGGTGCCACAACCTCGCTCACAGGATGTGGATGACAGCGATGACTTCATGAAATGTTTCTGGGCAGTCTGCCCAAGCCTTTTTGCCTGTGAGTTGCGCGAACCAGTTTTCCTGCGAACATCGTCTGCCAATCACAGCAACTTTGCATCGGAATGAAGCTAAATAATCCTGATGCTGGTGGGGTGGTGATGAAGCATTGTGACCTGGGGTCGTTGATGTAAGGAGCAAATGAAGGACGACCTCAAAATGCATTCTCCGCGCTTCTAAGCCCTCAGCTTCCCATGCTCAAGGTGAGCCTGAGCGTCAGTCACAATCGGCTTTGTTTTGGTCTCCCTCTCTCTCTCTCTTCTCTCTCACTCAGGTAGTTTCCACCCACCCCTGGCGATGTGGGTTCGGGTTGAACCCCATCAATAACCTGGGGCAGGTCTGCATGTGCCCTGGTCGTTGCTTTACCCTCGAATTAATGCCTCCTCCGTTCTCTAACCTGCTGCGAGAATCCGGTCTCCACTTTCTTGACACCGAGCAGCCCCGGAACAAATTCCCCCCAGCTTCGAAAAAGGGATTGGAGCGTGCCCGTGCTCGACAAATTTCTGAGGCAAAGTCAAGCTTTGCACGGCGGTTCACCGTACCAACAAACGCAGCACTGAATTCTCCCCGACGAGTTCGCCCATCTCGTTTTACCCCAATATTGCGATTTGAGCTGCTGCTTGTTGCATGCGAAATGAGTTGAAATGAACTGGCAACTTTGAAGTGGAGGTTACCCATTTGTGTCTGAGCGATCCCACGCATTGTCTTTGTCTTGGGTCGTGATGACATCCATGGCATAGGGGCTCGTTTGTCTGGCAAACGGGGTCAGCATACAGCTCAAACCTCCGGAGGCCCGGAGGCCCGGAGGGCAGGTTCCCCCAGCTTTCGCCAAAATGGCTTACAGCATTCTTATCTCCTCGTCTTGTTCAAGCTTCAAGGGGCTCTACATTGGTCTCTTTTGGTTTTGGTTTGGTCTCTCTATCTCTCCCTCGCCCTTTGGCTTTGGCGAGGTGAGCATGGGAGGCGGATTTGGCCGGACCTTCAAGTCTGCCAAACTGTCCTGTTCTTGACATGTTTTTTCTGAGACAACAGGATATTAAGGGAAAATTAGCAAACAAGCTATGTAACAGCAAATACCACGAAACAACAGTTCCCAAACACGGGCGGATGCATTTGTCCTTCCTGCTGCATTGCTTTGTGTAGAGGTCCGGCTGAAAGGCTGTAGACCAAGCTTTACCAAAACCGTACAACCAAACCCGGGAAAAAACAAAACGCCGAGTGTCCGCATGCTTTTTTGTTCCTAAGTTCGTCACAGATGCTAGGAGGCTCCATGCAAAAACTTGATTTGATGCCGAAATGCGAGGACGCTCCACGCGAGGAGTAACTTCCGCATCGAAATTTAAGGACGCTCCAAGCAAGAGCTTCATTGTCTTGCCTGGCAGTACCAGAACCTTACATCCAAACCAAGGAGGACAAGTAACTTCGCTCAAGAAGTGCAAGCAGAAACTTGCTGTCCTAGCAACAACTGGAGATGCGTAGTCGCGCACTTTTTCTCCAGCCATGTCCCTAGCAGGTGCAACTCTCGTGCTCTTGTATTCGTCTCGTATCACGGAGACGGACGAGAAATAGAGCAATCCCGGGGAATGTGGGACATGGAAGAAGTATGTGCTTATTGGATCATTATGTGATCGTAAACGAGGGTGTGGAGGGTGGGTGAAAAGAAATGAACACAACGTGTTCCAATCTAGAGGTGCACCAATTAGAACCGAAATGGCAACGGGGATGGCAAAGCATGACAATCCGCATGTTTTTGGTTCCTAGTTCGGTGCTCAACAATTGTCGTTTATTCCGCACGCGTAAGACAGGACATTTAATTTGGCTCCAGAGGTGCAAGCAGAAACTTGTTGTCCTAGCAACAGCTGGAGAAGCGTAGTCGCGCGCTCTTTCTCCAGCCATTTAGCGGTGGCAAAAATTTCCCTTCCGAATCTGGTGTCCAAGATGCACCTCTGGTGCCCTTGTATTCGTCTCATATCACGGAGACAGAGAAATATTCCCGGCACTGGTGTTCGATTTCCCGTCGTAAAACAGCGTGAATGGGGCCAACTTGGGGATCTTCTCAAAGCCGAGGGACGAGTCAAGTCTGATGTCCCCGCTGATTTTGAAGCACCTAGCCGTGATTGCCGCATTGGGGATCTCAAGCATGGATCATAACAGTCAGCGAGGCAGGGGTTCAAAGGGGCTGATCGGGTCGGATATGTTTGCCTTGGTGGGCACACGTTCAATCCGGTGTGCCACTCTCCTTGCTGTGCCAAGTCAAGCACTGATCAGGCAATTTAGGGTTTGGTGCTTCCCAACGCCTTTCATGAGGGCATGACGGGCTGCTTTGTTGTCACATTTGTCACAGCACTGGATGCATTTTCTAGAAGAACCTCGAAAATGAAGGGTGCACTGCTAGCGATCCAAGCTTCCAACAGGTGGATGAAGGCGGTGTTGGAGCAGAATTTTTTTAGAATGTCATGCGGTAACTGGCGGTAACTTGCCCTGGAAGTACCAGGCCCTTCTGGTGTTCCCTTGACCCTGGGGGGGAATATCACTGCTCCCCAGCCATTGTCTACTTTGGTAAAGTCGGTGGGGCGCCAGTCGTCGGAATCCCATCTCCTGGTCGCAACCGTTGGTCGCCAGCCGTGTAGTACGCATTGGTGTAGATGATCGCGAAGCTGACTGGTGAGCTAACTGTCTGGGGATCCGCACGGGCCGGCAGTGGGATATGATGTCCAGCAGGCCCCCCAACGCTGCGTTGGTGGGTTTGTCTAGATTTGCGTGGTTGCTGCACGCTTTAGCGTAAGCCGGTGAGAAAGTTGCATTTGCCGGCCATGCGGCGAGCTTGTTCTGGCGCTAGCTCGTTGTCCTGTAGGCATTGTCTGACGACCTCCTGCATGCGGAGGACTCTCTGAGGGCAAGGTGTGAAGACTATGTGATGGGGTTCCATTGAAATCATGACTCCGGTTGTCGCTTGCTGGGTTTCATGCTGTAACCGAGGTGAAGTCCTCGAAAGCTTGGAATCCTGAATTAGCTAATCTTGGTGCTCCCATAGTCATCCACATAGTGCATGGTGGGGCACAACAGGAGGATCCTGGAGACAGAGACCATGGCTTCGCCGAAGCGGTTGTATCCACCTACGTCGAAGAGGAGTTACGTTATGGCTCCACATGCAAGGTTGGTCCCTCTGGAGTGTGTACCACAGGCGCATGTGGCGGCGCGGGTATGATTGGTGTAGGATGCGAAGTCGTTTGCCTCGGCGAATCTTGTCTTTACCATTGGACCCACCTGCCTGGCGCTGAATGCCAATGCGCTGCGGTGTCTCACACGGGGTGTAGCTGCAAGGACGTGCCTGGGAATTTGGAAGGTGCTATAGTGGGAGTGGACCACGTGGATGGTTGTACGAAGGGTCCCTTCACGCGGCCCACGCTGACCTTTTGCACAATCTCATCCAACATGATGTCGTGGTGTTCGTCGACTCTGCGCTGCGGAGTTTCTGCTCCACTTATTGGTGGCTGTGTTGGCTGAAGTCGTCATGTGAACGTGGTTGTCCGCGCGGATATATCAAATGGTGCCTGGCTGTACGGTGCCCATCAAAGGAATGTCTTTTTCCATCTCCAGGACCAGCTGGTGAATCTGGTTGACGGCCTGCCTGCAAAACTCAGCCACGGGCTGAGAGGCGCGCGCGTGTCGGAGACACCAAAGGAGGAGTGGGGCATGTATCCAGAGCGAGGACCCAGCTCCTTTCAACTGAACACTTAATGGCGCACTGCGCGCTGTTGTTTTTGACGGAATTCCGAAGGTGGTCTAATTGGCGAACCATGCTCCTCCGGGCTGTTGAGGAAGATGATCAGTAGCAGCCATGCGGCGGTGGAGGTGCGCCATGTGTTTCCTAGGGCCTCTTCACACGCTGCGCGGCGCTCGAGAATCCCATCATCTGCTCACGCACGTGGGCCGGTGCGATGTGGGCCAGCGCGGTCGCGCGTTGCAATCAGAAGAGGTGACCAGGTACTTTGACTGGGCGCAGAACGTTGATGATCTGCCTGCCGGCGTGCCATAGTGTTGGGGGTTCGTTGCACTTGGATGGAGCGGGGCTGCCCTGTGGGTACGGTGCATGGGAAGAGTTGTACTGCTGCCGCAATCGGGTTGCGGAGGCATCGCCACTGTGTGTCGTTCTATATCCAGCGGCATTACCTTGGTGTATGCGCCGCGAGCATCTCGCCGGCATAAACCCAGTCCACTGAGGCACACCACAGGTGTCTTCGGTATGACGCCGCCGTCTGGCGCGTCCACAATAATGGGCCCGATGCCCAACTGCTGTGATAATCTGTCGATGTCCGTCTTGACACTCGGATGTGGAACAATGTTCTCGAGTCGGATAACACTTGTTCAGTCTGTTGAGTGATCTGCACCATGTCCTGGAACAGGTGTCCGGTTTGGCCTGAGGTTTTCGGGCCACGCGCGCATGGTGGAGAAGTCAAGGCACTGTGGTCCTCCTGCGAGGACGATCATGATGGGCTTGCTGAGACGATACGTCTTTCACGTGGATCGGCTGGGAACGTTCTTCTAAACGACTATACACTTGGGGTCCGTTTCCCCGCTCATAGTCAGGACTGGCTTGATGTTCAACATCTGAGGCACGACGCGCGGGTCTGGCAGCGGCGAAGCCGTCGAAGAAACCGAGGTGCACCATCCCGCCTCACCCCGTCACCTCGGTGGTATAGGTCGTTCGGGCTTTTGGTGACATGCGAGGAACTAATGTCGAAGAAGCAGCCAAACATTATCTGATGAAGTTCCCAACTTTTCACGGCTCGGGAGACCCATGCATGTGCACTCCAGATAGAGTTTGAGCGCCGGCCTAAGCCTCTTGAGCACTCGAGGCCAAGGATTGAAACACACTCATCCGATATGCAATTGGAAATTCAAGTCGCCGCGATGTTCTGTCCGAAGAAGAGGGCCCAGTCACGTTTGGTGACACCAGAGGTCCTTCCAACGTGAATAAGAAATCATTGCAGGGTTCCTCTCGAGTCATGGTGACCGTGTAGACGAAGCTGTCGCGGGGTCACCCTGCTTTTCGTCGGCGGACGAGGCAGACGAAGATGAAGAAGATGAGGACGAGGATGGACTTGGTGTCCGGATCAGGCGACGAGCCTTCACCAAAAAGAAGTCCAGGCGCTCGGCGTACAGGCGGGTCTTGATGAGCACAAACAGGTCGGTGAGGTGAGAGAGG